TCCAGGGTTTGTTCTAAGCAGTATATAGCTTCAAAGCCACATTTTATTAAACTGAAATTATTGCAAAGGCTGTATTTTCTGCTTCTTACAGGGCCAGAAGGCAGTTTCCCCCACTCTTCAATAAAGTGTACTTGACCACTCAATTTGCACTATTCAGTCATGAATGATAGCAACTTCTTAATGCCTAAACACAGTATTTTAAAGTTTTCCATGTCATCTTTTGCGGTACGGAAAAAAGAAACCCTTGGACATCTTGGAGGCCTTAGTGGAGTTCAGCTGTTTTGGTTACTGCAGTCATTCACCTTTGGGGTTAAAGAAAAGAGGAAAACGTCTCTATGCTTTCAAAATTTTATTTTAAAGTTTCTTGTTTTACCAGAATGGCCTATGCTGTTCTGCTCAACCCGCCAAACGTTTTACGACTTGGAAATGGAGAGAAACAGGATGGGCGAGATGCTGTTCAGTGAGCTGCTACCCAAGGTGCGGCTCTCCTTCTCCTGCCAGGGCATGTGTTGTGTGAGAAGTATTAGGAGATAAACTTCCCGGTGGAAGAATTAATTTCTTATTGAAACTTAATGCTTAATTTCTCTAAAAGTCTTCGAGAAAAGGGAATGTGAAGGGCTGCCCCTGCAGCTGCCACGTGAGGCAAGTGGTCTTCCCATTTGGGAAGGAGCGCTCACGGCAAGAGGAGGAGTTGCTGAACATGGCTTTTCCTCCTCTACCAACACCAGGCATATTTGGCCATCACCTCTGCAGGTGTCTGAGTACAAATCACAGTTGTGTTGTAAATGTATTCTGGAGCAGCACAGGTTATGCCTCAAAATACCAGATCAGACACCAGCTAGCTTAGTCAGATGGTAAACCTGAGGAATGCCTTTGTAGCAAGCAATCGTTTGAATATAGGATTTTGCTCATCGTGTTTGTGTTGATACCAGTGTGGTGGCTTTGGGGTCCTCCACCTTTTTTTTTTTTTTCTTTCGGGATTGAAAGCAGCAGTCACTGTTCCTGCTGACTGCTCATGTGAAAGGATGCTGCTCCGGAGAGGCTGGTGGCAGCACAACATTCCAGCTGTCACTCCAATACCAACCAATACGCTCCAGCGTCAGAGCCCAGAAATCAGTAACTATCTAGTGATGGAGATTTCAGCTGAGAAGATTTAGTCACTTTCTGGGAAGAAATCCAAACAACATTTAAAACGCGCTTGGGTTTTTTTCGATAGTGCTTTAAAAAAGGTCAGAGCCAGAGAAGAATGAAATTAGAGATGGAATAGTAGAAATCCACCTCACAAGGTATGGACACACAAAAATTGTGATCACAACCCTCTCACTTTGCCAAACAGTTGTTGCAATAATTTTGCAGTTCAGTTGAGCTTCAAATTTTTCATCTCCAGCTACAATAAAATTCACGATGCTTTATCCGATTTCCTCACCCTGTCCAAAAGGCATAAACAAATCCTTACTTCCATCACCACTCAGAATGCTGGCTGCAAAGCAACGAGAGAAAAAAAAAAATCAACCTTGTTTTTAGTATTCTACAGTAGATTTATAGTAACTTGTTTCAATGATAATTTATCCATCTTAGAAGAGGTAGAGGCAATGTTAGTAATGCAAAGCCTGATCCTGCAGTTCTGCACAAACATCTGCCTCACGTGGGGCTTCATGGACTCCTTTTGGGTCAAGTGCAGCTCAAGGATCCTGCCATCGCAGGTGCTGAGCTCCTCTGCGATTAGACATGGACAATGGAAATAAAAAGGGTGTGAAAGCTTTGTGTGATACACAAGGGTGTACCCCAAAGGTGGTATCCAAGGAAAATCAAATATCAGCGCAACTGCCTGCCAACCACACTGCTCAATCATCTTGTCACCTGTCAGTTGTTTTTTAAAATGAAAGATTTTAACTAAATATGATTTTTTTTTTTAAACCACCAGCAACCGTTGCTAAACACTGCAGTTGCAGCAGAACAGAAAATAATTTGCAGTGGCTTCATCTTCAATTTTCCCAGCTGCTGCTGAGCATGGCTGAGTGCACTTACTTGTGAGCCAGCCGGGAGTGAGCCCTTGGATCCTGCCTGCCACAAACAGGAGATGGCCTCCGTTGGGAGATGGCCTCCGTCAAGAGATGGCATCTGTTGGGAGATGGCCTCCGTCGGGAGATGGCCTCCGTCGGGAGATGGCATCCATCAAGAGATGGCCTCCGTCGGGAGATGGCCTCCGTCGGGAGATGGCCTCCGTTGGGAGATGGCCTCCATCAAGAGATGGCATCTGTTGGGAGATGGCCTCCATCAAGAGATGGCATCTCTCTGGAGATGTGGGCAAAGCAACAAACTGTTGTGTGATTTGTGTGATTTTCTTTTTCCCCACATGTAAGAATCTGCTCGTAACACAGAAAAATAAATGTATATGAAATATTTGCATTTAAAAGCTTTCGTTTTATATTTTTGCATGTCCCGTTGCTTAAAGCAAACTAACTTGTACATAAACTGAAGAGAAACAGTCACATACTCTACCTTTAAAAATACAGAGCAATATATAATTTTATATAGCAAAGGATTCCAAACCTCTCTCCTGTCCATCTGATTCATAACAAATTACTCTGCTTTTTCTGTTTGACTGTTGTTCAGAGTTGGTAAAGTGCTGTTCGGGAAATATTTAATTTGAGTTGGAGGAAACCAATCACTTCTCTTTTCTCTCAAGTGATGAGGTGTGTCATGTCAAACTGCAATTTTCATTACAAGTTATATGATGCTTTTTTAGGTAGCTGTGAGGAAAATAAGACACAAGGAATCATACCATTGGCAGAGAATAGATTAACTTCAAGGTGGCAGGGAAGAAAAAGACAAATTACGGTCTCATTTACAGAGCAATTCCCCTGGCCACAGGAGAGTTGCGATGATTTGAGCCACAAAAATTTGAGCTGAGTATGAAAAACTAAATAGAGTTGAATAAGATTGCATAGAAAAGACTACAGGCTATCCACTACAGCTCTTACTCTCTGTTATTTAGCATTTTTAAAGGTGTGGATGCTCAGTTCGTTTAAATTTGGTTCTCAAGTCTGTCAAATGACGGCTGATGAGCCGCAGCTGAAAATTTATTCACTCAAAGTTAGTACCAAGACAAATAGCAAATCTTAAATATGTATTTTTTAAAAATGTATTTCACAGGGGACAAGTGGCACAGCTGACAGCACAGGGCTGAAGGCAAGCAGGCAGATTTTTACCTCACTTTATTTAAAAAAAAAAAAACAAAACAACCAACCCCTTGGACTATGCTCTTTGTATGCAACTAAGCAGCAAATAGAACTATTGCATTAATAAACCCATGGAGGTGGATCAGTCTAAAATAGCCCGTACCGCTGTGGTTAAAATTTAACTGAAGTACAGGACAGAAAAGGAGAGGCAGGTGTCTTGTTTCTTGTGCCTTTCCAAGGGCTGAAAAGCTTCCCTTTGCTCTTCAGGGCTTAAATTTTATATTGACTTATTTCCTCTATGCTGTGTGTGTTAAGTACATATAGGAAGCATATGAATTTTTTATTAATAAAATGTATAAACTCTTAAAGCAATGACATCAAAAGTATCATTAAAGTCCTATATAATTTGAAAGAAAAAATTACACAGGACCATATAACTTTAAAAAAAAAAAAAAAAAAGAAATTAATTACATTGATTTCAAAGATGCTTTAAAGTTTTGACTCAAGAAATCATAACACTAGAAGAATCAGAGTATAATATCACTGCATTACAGAAGAGGTATTTTCTCCTCCCAAGCAATTCTTTGCCTTTTCAAATTCATATAACTTTAATCTCTCAATATCTTTACAGTACAAAGCAGTCAAGCTTCAGGAAGATAGCTCAACAGGTTTATTTAGAAGCACCGTTAAAACAGACTGCTTCCTAAAGGTTAATTAAAAAAACCCTCTAGATGATCCAGAAGAATGGGATCAGTATAACCTGGGATAATGATATTATAATTAATAGAAATAAAAGCTAATGTAATCTCTGTTACTTTATCCTGACGATAGATTATTAATTTACATTTCAGGTTTCACACAGACAAAATGGTGACACTGGTGCCTAGTTTAGACTTTGTCTTCAGTGTTTTTACTAAGCAATATATGTTCTGTTCGATATCATGTTGTTACTGTCTTTTGTCTTTGTTTAGGTCAATTTGGGCTGAACAAAAGAATATATTCTCTTGCTCTGTAGTTCAGAACAGGTTTTCTTCACTATCGCTCCCTTTACGTATCCACTCCTTCAGTGAAATGAATCCCTATTTGTTCCCTCCCTGTCAAAAAAAAAAAAAAAAAAAAAAAAAGGAGGGAATTATTGTGTGAAAACATGTGGAATTTAATTACGAAATATAGTTCTTCCTTAGAAAATAATCTATGGAGAGTAGATAGAACCTCCTTACCTCTGCCAAAGCCGAGACCAACTCGGTGTTTTCACAAAGAGCATGAAGAGTTTAGAACAGGTCACAAAGGAGACAGTTGAGTAGCTGTTAAGCAACCTGGGAATTTGAACAGAGAAGGAACTTTTTATTACTCTTTAACATAACACATTAGATACAGATTTAGCAAAAATTCTTTCCAGCCTGGTTATCAGCCTTTCAAGAGAAAAAGCAAGAACAGGCCAGAAAATTTTATCGAGGAGTAAAAACTGTCCCAGAAAGCAGTAAGGCGAGCTGGAACCCGCAGGAGTCAGGCTCCAGAAGATGGCTCCAGAGCCGTCATCTGAAAAGCTCTGGCTTGGCAAGGCAATCATAAATCATCTGCCGATGGCCTTTGCCGGGTTGGTTTTGTTGTAACTATGGCAACACCTTTTGTCCAGACCAAAGTTCAATTATTTTGCATTTTTATTACCACTGCTGTTTGCTTAAAGTTTACCAGGGTAACTTTGTGCTAGCACAGAGAGCAGATCCCAGATAGCGAGGAGGAGGAAACAGCCGCATGCTAAACGGGACTAAAGAGACGAAAATACCCTGAATTGGTGGGAAATCGCCGACTGACAAAATGCCATCCAGAAAAAAAGCAGCCATGTTCGCATCTGCTTTTCTGACCTGTGCGTGCTCTTTCGTGCTGATTTGTGTCGTGCTGGCAACCCAGCACTGGATGAGCAGTCAGGTTCGCTTTTCTGGCACGAACTCCAGCGTTACCGTGAGTCTCACCTACGGACTTTTTAGCGGCACCTGTGAACAGTTCGTTGAAGCGGGGCTTCAGGTTTCAGAAAAGACTTTCCAAGGTGAGTGGTGTTGCGCCTGGAAATGGATGGTGTCTTCTCGCTCGTGCAGGTGATGGATGTAGGAACCGTGGCGCATTCTTGTGTTCCAGTCTGGGGATTTAAGTGGTATAAAGACCCCCAAAAAAGCACAGAAATGCTGCAGCGTTCTTGCCAATAGCAACTTCTTCTAATTACCTGTGAATTTAGCCTACACCTAGGAACAAGTTAAAAGTACAAAATAGGAACTTTGTGGAAAACCAACTTTCATTTTCAGAAGCTTTCAGTGTGGAACAGAAAAGCAACATCATTCAATTACCATTTCATTAAAGGATCACATACCTAATTCACCTTCCGGGATTTTTTTTTTTTTAATTTTGTTAAGTTAAATTTGTTGTTTAAAACATTTTGCCACCCTCTATCAAATGTAGCATCGTTTTGGAGGAAGGTTTTATGAGGCTGCTGAAGGGAAAAGAGCAAAACACATAAAAGAATAATTTAGATAGATATGGTGTTTATACGTGTGCTGGACCTATGTATTAATGAAAATATTCCTTTTATTTCTTTCCTTAAGAGCATCTCATTCAATTTTTAAGTGATATTATGAAACTTAACCAGTTGATTAGTATATTTTCAAAACTTAGGCTTGCTCATGTCTTCTTTTTTTTTTTTTTTTTGCTAAACAGTGAAGTATGGATTACAAAATAGCTTCTAACCTGTTACAAGGCCTTTCTTCTCCCACCCAATGCACGGTTTTCAGGTGACTTCTCGTCATCATGACTTTCCAAAAAAACTCTGAAATGATATTTGGAAAGAAGGTTATTAGAAAAACATTTCAGCAAACATCCAGTAGATTCAAACTGTATCTTATGTTGTCATGCAACAGATCTTAGGTTTTGTGCATCTGCAGTTCCTGGTATTTATCCTCAATGGTAGAATTATTATAGAAGAAAAAGAATTTAAAAAATAATTAAGGAGGACAGAAAAACTGAGAGATAAGGGTGGAGGGATGATACCTGGGAATAAAACAAAATTAAAAAGGGGAAGAGCAGAAGGGCTTTTACTTAGAGCAATCATGGCCAAAGTTAAGACAAGCTGATAAAACCCTAGCATAAGAAGCAAAACATGAGAAAAAGCAAAACAGAAACAAGAAATTATATACCGAGTACAAGCCGCAGACTCGATACTGGTTTCACATGGTTCAGCAAAGTTTTACTGAACTCTGTGCACAAGTAACTACTGCTGTGAAGAGCATCCACAAAGCCCAAAGGTAGATAAGCCTGAAAGCTCTTGCAAGGATCAAGGATTTGCACTCATTTTATGTATCTTGCTGGCTCACTGAGTTCAGAGCAATAATGCTGATACACACGTGTGAAAGTGAAAAAAAGCTGGTCGAAAGGAACCTAATGAAAACTTGGAAGAGTAGGTCAAACATTTTTGAAACATGAGATGTACTTTCAGATATTCTGTTGGTTTGGGTAGGCTGTTGTAAGATGTCCCATCACAGAGAAGCCACCAAGGTAGAGTACAGCAGTCTTAAGCCTCCAGATGGTTCCCATCTCTGAGCTCTTCCCCATCTTAACTTAGTACAGAAATTGTATCGACACAAGCAGGCACCCAAGTTCTTACAGCAGCAAAGCCAGTTCACGTTATAACAATTATATTGCAGTGAAAAATCTGAGCGCAGCGGTGTTCCTAGCACAGCATTCATCGAGATCATCACATAACAAATACCAAATCACAAGTCATTCAAACCAGTTATAGCAGAATAATCAGAGTAGTTTTTAGAACAGTAAATACACATTTATAAAAATAGTTTATACATGATTCTATCTCCCCACACCAGTTGGCTCAAGCCCCAAACGTCACGCCACACGCGCAGACTCTTGCTGGTTTTAACAGGGCTCCGTGTGAAACCAGGAGTCCACCCGTGGGGAGCTGATTGCAGAGCGAGGCTGCAGTCTGGCAGGAATTCGGGGACATGTCTTGCCTTTGCACAGAGGCTAACGCAGCCCAGTCCCAGGGCCTGGGCACTACCATCGAGTAGGTTTTAATTACAGTTAATGACAAGCACTCACAGAACACTGGCATCAGTAAAGGATTTCAGTTCTTTGCACGGGCTACATGGATTTTGGTGGCAGTGACCAGATTTAGGTTTTTACGCTTATTTACAAAATGTTATCTCAATTCTCACCTACCAGCCATTTAAGGGATGAACAAAACGAGTGAGTTTCAGGAGTTTCTAGTTGCTCTTAACAGCTGCTGAAAGAAAGTCGTGCTTTGTGACTAGTCTAAATAGGGATTTGCCCACATCCCTCACTAGTTCAGCTGGGCATATATCCAAGATGAAATGAACTGATTTTAAATTAATTCTTAAGCTCCATATTGGGCATAATTGTCGCATTTTATATTAAGTGTGGTTCCGTACATTCTTGAAATAAGAAAAATACTTCACAGAATTGCATACATACCATTTTTAAATTCAAATAGTCAGGTCCGATGTCTTCCCTTTGATGATATCCTTAAGTAAATGGATTGCCTGTGCTACGAAGAAATGAAGTAAGTGCTGTGCTTTCTCCACTCTAACACTTCAGACACCAGTAAGAGGAGTTATAAGCATCCTCTTAAATGACGGTGCGATCTGTCACTCAGCAAACATGGCCCGGCTGGGGGTCTCTGCTGCGCACCCTGAGTGTGCTTCTCAAAAGACATTGTCATATTTGCGTGTGAGAAAGGGAGAATGGAAATCACAAAAGAGTAAATCAAAGACAAGAGCTTGGGCCTATAGATTATTAGTTAGCAATAGCCCAGGTTGGCTTTTATTAATGGCCATACAAAAGCAGATTATCAACAGCCTTTACAAAGACCATAACTTATTCTTTCAGAAACCACAACATTAAGAGAAATTTCCGAGAGTAAAGATGAAAAAGAAACAAAGGAATATGGTTTCTCCAAGTGTACAGCGCATGAACTGCCTGGTCAGGGTAGGCTCTTCCACTGACTGCCATGAGTGACCTTAGTAGAGCAATAAATCAATAAGGCTACTTCAGAGGCTCAGGGGATGAGCAGAATGATCAAGTTATTTAAGAACTTAAGTCCATCGAGTCTTCATTAGCCGTTTTAATGATTTGTCTTAGAAAGGAGCCACCTATGACTGTAATAGTCTGTAAAAAGAGTTTCTTTACAGCTTTGCTTCCAAGTCAAACACGTAAAAGTTGTGAGCAAGGTGCAGGAAGAGGCACACCCAGAGAGTCTCATAAAGTCAGGATTTATCTGACTCTTGGCAACCAGCAAGGCCAACAGCACACGAGGAAGCCTTTGAAATTTGCTGTTGCAGAGACAAATCGATGAACTTTCTAACTTTTAAAATATGTGAAAAATGCTTGAAAATTGCTGGAACTTTGTTAACATTATCATCAGTTTCCAGATGCGAGATGGGATATCCTGAAAAGTAGAAAGCTAGGTTGAACTCTAGTATTTTTTGGTTTTGTTTTCTTTAACTGAACCATCCATTATGTGTCGTAAGGGATCGTAGACCTCGTGAAAGTTGCCAGATCAGCACTGCTTAGAAAAACCTCCAGGCTGGTAGCTGGATGTCATTCACACTGGTCAGCAAAAGTTTGGGAAATTCTCTCCAACCATACAAGAGTTAAAGATGAAAAACAAAGATACAGAAAATTAAGGTGAGACCTGGCAAAGGTAAAACCCTCTGGTTTTGTTCTGGAATGAGGTTACTGTACATGTAATAGAGGTTATATGATGTGGAAGTTATCCAGCTGCGGGTTACTATCGATCCCATTCAAGTAGATCAGCTACTGTGCGTTCCTTCAGTTTGCACAGGCACTTCATTTAGGAGAAAAAAAAAAATCTGCCACCATGAAAACAGCATTTTATTTATAACCTTTTGTCTTGTGCTGTTGCAGACGTGCTTACAACAGGCGGAGTCTGACAAAATTACATCCCCTGAACTGCGAATCACTGTCAGAGATAAACAAGATCAGTTAGGGGGAGGGGGGCAATAGGTGTAGCAGCCAATTCTGGAGATGCTCTGAGCGATAAAATTGAGTAAGGCTGCCAGAGGGAAATTACACAAACCTGTCCGATTTGGTTCCAGACTTATTTCTTGAACTAGGCAATGCCCAAGCAGTAAGGCTGCTTCAGCGCAAGGACGTGGTACAACCAGCAGTGTGCTCTCTTCCGTTTAATTGAGCGATGTCCCCTGAACGCCCATCTTCCCTATTCTTTGGGGATAATTGCTTAAATTTACAACTGATTTCCGTAACACATCCTCACCTGCCATTTCCTCAAACAGAAATTAACTTCTACCAGGAATATTATATAAAACGAGAGAAAAGCTTGCCTTTTCATCTATTTCCAATAGTTCTTCTTTTTGTTATGAGTGTTTATTTTCTTTTTATGGGGATTTTACTATCTTTTCTGATATGATTTCTCCTATTTATGCACTAACTGAATACTTTGCAGTAATGGCTTTATATTAAAAGCACCATAGAATGGAAGGTTTCCTACAGATGGCTGTCTATCACAGCACCCATTTGAACAGAGCTTGAAAACATTTTGTATTTGTTATAGGGTAAGGCAGCCACAGGCATATTATAGTTGCCTTTTCAATCTTTAGATTGAAAGGGGGAAAATGTATTGCGATGCAGCTATACTGCAATTACACTTGGGGTGTATTACATTCACATTTGTGTCTCATTATCAGCAACATACCAAATAACTAGAAGTATTTAGGCAAAAACAAAAGAATCGGTTACAGTCGTGGAGGGGTTGGCTGTACGTGCTGTGTATATATGGCCAGACACGCCACAGCCTCCACCCATTTTTATTTTTCTTTTGTTCCTTGCAGGATGTGGAGACAGATCTAGTGCGGGTGTGAGCACCAGCTCAGCCTTGCCTCATCTGTCCGTGAATGACCATGCTCAGTGACATTTGTCCTACAAACGCACCTCACCCCTCCAGGCTAATGGCTTTACTGGCCCTTTAGAAGCTGTTCCCTCTGTCACATTTATTCCATAGGAGGTGGAACTGCTGCTATATTTAAATGGAATAATCTACAATTGGTGCCAAGTTTTAAATGTGTATCTGTAGAAGTTACCAGACATCTCGGGAATGATGGGCAGAGGAACACCTAGTTTTTTGATCTGAGTTAGGCATAAAATTTCTGTCTGGCCACATCAAGATAAAATATTTACAGAAGCATTAAGACAGACAAGTTTACTACCCGGCCTGATGCCTGGGAGGTTTGTGTGCCTGCAGGATTATCAGGCACGTACTTATGTCAGACTAATGTACCTTCACCCCATTTTACATTGGGGTTCATGTGCTGTGTCCAAACCTACTGTTCCTTCTACACCCTGATCTCTACAGATCAACCTAATCTCTGGTTACTAGCTTTTAATTACAGCCAGCTAAGTCATGAGGTCATCCGAGCCCACCAGACTGTGTGGGGAAGGCTGATTATCGATGCTGAGCCACTGTATTTCAGTTGCAGATAACCTGAAGAGCACCAAGGCGGAAAGCACAATCACTGCGATTATTGTGATTCTGGTTCTTGGTTTACTGAGTTCCCTTCTGAGTTCTGGATTTACCTGCACTAACGCTGTCAGTAATCCCTACCAGACATTTCTGGGACCTACAGGAGTCTATACCTGGAATTCCTTATGTGGTGAGTAACGCATCCCATGCTGACCACTTACTGTCCACCATATAGATGAATATTCTCATCAGTTCCAAGATGAAGAACTATATCTGTAAAAGGAAACACTTGGAAAAAGTACTCCGTTCGTTTGCTTTTGGTTTTCAACCATGTCTGCTGGGATACCTGAAAAGTACCTTTTAAGTATGAGTAAAATAGTAGCATGTACTTGAAGTGACACCATCGATCAGTAGGAGTCTGGATTCACTAGCAGGAAAAATGGAAATGAAAAAGCCCCAACAGGTGTAGCATCATTTCATGCATGATGCACATCACGAAAAACAGAGTAAGCTGACAAATAGAGAATGAAACTAACAGAAGAGTATGAACTGGATGTGACTAAAGTGCAATTTGTAACCTCTTTAAGACATTACGTCACTATTTTGTGGTATTTACAGCATATCTGTTGCTGGGTTACATACATACCAATTTAGGCCTCTAAGGTTGAATCTACAGGATGGACTCTAGCTTCATTTCCAAAAAATGTGTTGAATCAAACACATCCACAACAGCGTTAACACAGGGAGGTGGCAGTTAGGACTGAGTCATGGTAAAATTTATTTCCTTCTCTAAAAAACACTTTCACACATAAAAAGTAAGTTTTAACATTCCCTAAGCAGGAGGAAAAAAAAAAAAAACCACAACAACAAAAAAAGACACTGAGCTGTTAAGAGACATGAACTGTGTTAAACAGGTCCCTGGAGGTGTAACCCCTCATTCACCTGATAGACTTGAGCCCGACTGCTCCCAATGAGCCTTCCTACCCTCTTCATCTCGCTGTGGTAATGACTTCAGCTCTCACACTCAATTTGCCTCAAGAAGATTATGCATTCCCCTAATACTAGGTTTGTACTCAGAAAATTCTCTTTAAAGACAACTGATTACAGAGTACTTCAGCGTTGGCATTTTGTCCTTCAAAAGCTCTTCAGGTCCGAAGACGCTCCGCTGGCAGAGCAGGAGCTTGCTCGCCCTTGGGCTGTGTCCTCAGCAGCATCGTCCTGTCCTGGGGCTGCACTCTGTGAGCTGCCTTTGCCAAAATCAGACCTTGGTGGAAAGGGAATTGTATAGATAAACGTAGTCGTATTCATAGCAAGTATCGGTGGGGGTGTGAAGCCCACCCATTGTTCTCCAGCCATGGCTAACACAGCCTATAAAAATAAACAATGAAACAGCTGTGGATGCCTTGAAACAGAGTAAGAAGAGTGAGCAAAATTCTAGGTTAGACAATTATTTAACTTTCAAGAGAAGTGGATCATTGTCTCATCACATGAGAAAGTTGTTAGTTTCCTGAGCCCAGCACCCGTTACGCAGCCTGAATCTGCAAGATTGGACCTGAAATGAAAGGACCGTGGTCTCACCAAAATAAATATTAGTGAGAAAGTAAACCCCCATGTTGACTGAAGATTGTGGTTACTTTTTACAGCCCTGTAAGTGCTATGACCTGCAAGTCTATTCGGCCATGAGTATGTTTTTATGAAAAAAATCAGGCATCACTTGATGTGTGAGTGTATCTTGAAGGATCCTAATTCTCCTACCAGATGGCCTGAAAGTCCAGTGTTGTCCTGAAAAAAAAACCCCTGAACCTGTTTCAGTGGGAACATGCATAGAATGGTGTACCTAGAAATATTTTCACCAATGATCAGAGATTATACCTCCATTAGCACTATGAAAGTAGAGATATAAAACCACTATTTATAGCTAAATGTCAAAGTATCCAAATTCCATGTATATTCAGAAGGGTATAGGAAATAGATACAGATCTAATAAGACCTCAGTTTGAGTCATCACAGAGTCATTGAATCATTCAGCTTGGAAAGAAAATTAGGTCTTGAAGTCTCTGCTCTTGAGCAAAGCTGAGCCAACCCTAAACACAGACCAGGTTGCTCAGGGTTTTATCCAGTTGTGATACTGCACACTTCATAAATTTGAGCTCATATCAAACAGGCTTTCTGAAAACCACCCAAAGAGTGAATATATTATATTCATCAGCACTAAATTCAGTGAAAAAAAATAAAATAGCCTTATCTAAGCAAAGTCAGTAAGAATCCATTAATTTTAGAAGATATAGATGCCAGTGTTAAAACACCTGACAGATGCTATTAGGTGGGATAAAAGTCCTTTAAATGACCTCATATTTTACTAACAGGAAGAGGTAGATTAATCTTTGTTGTAGTCCAGGTATTCTAACTAATTTAACTAGAATATCTACAAGTAGCTACATAAATAACACTACAGTTTCACCTCTAACATTTGTACTTAATATTTTCTAGGAATCTTCATACTTATAGCCATGATACTTTTTCCTGTGAACATAGAAGAATATGGCCTGTCCACAGAATTGGCCAAAGGATGTTTTTCTTTTCTGCAGACACATATCAGATCTGATCACGCTTACGGATATTCATATTGGATCATGCTCCTCATCATTTTTCTGAACATTGCTTCTATCATCATCATATATTTCTATGACCACGCCAGATATTCTAAGAAGAAAGAACAGGAAAGGCCCATTGAAAATGCACCAAAAGATGTCATTCTCTTTTAAGGATACTGCTGAAAAGAGGATGTAAAGAAAAATGACTATTTAATATGGACAATCATGGCTGATCATTTCCATTCAAATTGAAGCTGTGTGTATAGTTCAATTAACAAAAGAGCCTATTTTGCCTTCAGAGTAATTTGATTTTATCTTTATGGTAGGCATTAGTGTAATACTTACAAGTTTCCATTGGTAAACGTGCCACTTAAACACCTCCAGTAGATGTGGCCTGAAGTATGTGACGCCGGCGCCGTCCCATAGGAACAGACCTCAATGACCCTATGGACCTGCTCTTTCCCGGAGGCACCGCTGTGAAAACATCCTCCTAGACGGGCTCCTCCTCTCTGTATCACCACCTCTTGCCCACACAGCACAGAGGGGCTGGTTCCCACCTCTGCTTTCTGGATTTTTCTGGATTCTGGGAAAGCGGTGGCTGCCCTGGCTTTCTGCAGGGGCGCACCAACATCAGCATGCCGCGGATGTGCTTCTGCTTCAACCCGTTGGGCCTGAAAAGGAGGATCAGAGCCACGGTTTTGGTTGCGTATGTAATTTAGGATCTCAAGAGGCAGTGGGGGATGAGAAACGGTCATGAAGGTATTGATGCTTCATTTTGTCCTGCAGTTCACAGAATGATCTCAGTTGGAAAAGCCCTTGAAGCTCCTCAAGTCCAACCATGACCCTCCCCCTGACCGTTCCCAACTCCCCCAGATCCCTCAGCGCTGGCTCAGCCCGACTCTTCAACCCCTCCAGGGATCCCGGGGACTCCCCCCTGCCCCGGGCAGCCCATTCCAACGCCCAACAGCCCCTTCTGCACAGAAATCCTTCCTCAGAGCCAGCCTGACCCTGCCCTGGGCAGCTTGAGGCCATTCCCTCGGGGCCTGGCGCTGGGGCCTTGGCTCCAGAGACTCATCCCCCCTCTCTGCCCCCTCCTGGCAGGGAGTTGCAGAGGGCCAGGAGGTCTCCCCTCAGCCTCCTCTTCTCCAGACTGAACCCCCCCAGTTCCCCCAGCCGCTCCCCAGCAGACCTGTGCTCCAGACCCTGCCCCAGCTCCGTTGCCCTTCTCTGGCCACGCTCGAGTCATTCAATGGCCTTTTTGGGGTGAGGGGCCCAAAATTCTTCAAGGCGTGGCCTCACCAGTGCTGAGCACAGGGGTCAGATCCCTTCCCTGCATTTCTTACTACTGTCCTTTACTTGGTTAGAGATTTTATCCTGCAGGTCCCCATGGCACTGCCCTGGTGACTGTGGGCAGGCTTGTGGGCTCCTGGTCACAGGCAGGAGCGTGAGTGCTTGGACAAAGTCACTTGTGGTCAGTCACTGCCACATCAAACCTCCCAACAGCACCAGCACCGACCCCTTTCCGTGCTCCCTTTGCTCAGTGCTTTCATCCATGGCTGCTGTGGCAAGAGGAAGGGCCAGGGCCTACATAAGACAGCATAGGAGCCCAGTGTCCGTAAGTTATTCATTTGTAGCAATAATAGCATAATGCTTTTTCAGGATACTTACAGACCCTTGGTTAATGTCGACAGCAGAGCCGCACCTTGAGCAGGTGTGGTCGCCTGCTTTCCCACCCACTACGGCAGACTGGCATTTTGCCCCGACACAAATGCCAAGCAGTGGGTTTTCATAGCGATGATTTATGGCCGGTACCACCCCCATGCCTGGTTTAATGAGTGTTTCACGTGCACACAAAGACACACAACTGTAGAACCGCACAGAAGTGGGAGCTCCCTTCCCGCCCCGCCAAGGGAAGGTGAGCAGATGAACGTGACCTTGGCACAGATGCCATCGTGCAAAATCATGCTTAGTGCTCATGCCTCAGAGAAGTGCACTGTGCAAAACGGTGGTCAGCACCTTCTGCTCCTTTGCTCCTTACCTCTGCAGCTAGCAGCACGATTATTTATTTTTTTTAATGGTGTGGTTTTCCTTTACAATATTATTTACACGGTCATGCTTGACAGCTGTCCTGAGATGCAAGAGATATTCATGAACTAAAAAAAAGCATTTCTAAAGGGGGGATAGAAGATACAAGAGGTGACTTCTCACTATTTATGTCAAAAAATAAAGTTTCAGGATTAAAATTCTCAATACTTTATGCAGCTGTGCTCTTTCAGAGGCATCAAAGCAGAGGGCTTTTCCATCCTGCTTAAGCGTTTAACTAGAAGTACGATGAGGGCAGAGCAGGGGGAAAAAAAAAAAAAAAAAAAAAAAAAAAAAAAGCATAGGTCAACAAAATAAGAGATGTTATCTGCTCTCCACTGCTGACAAGAACCATGCCTAGAACTGCTTTTCAGTGCTGTAAACATTGCAGTTAAACCGTCGGATACTGTGCACCCGCGAGCGAAGCTGGCGCAAAGCCAAACATTTGCCAGTTTTGCTTTGGCTGCAAAAATTTTCACACAGTTTCAGCATGCATCTGTCACTGTTGTACTCAGCCAGCATCCATCACACAATACAATTACACTTATATCAGGCACTTGCTTGCAGAGAAATAAAGTCATTGTAATAGAATAATACCGAGGAGCAAGAGCTCCTGCTTCGAAAAGCAGCGACTTACCGTTGCTTGGGCATTTCTGTTTCGCTCAAGTACTAATTGCCACACAAGAGCTGAAAAACCAAACCACATTCCCACTTTTGTGTGCCTGTTGGAACCACCTGGCTCTGTTAAAAATCAGTCTGGAAGTCTCAAGAGACCTTATGCTCGCCTGCTGACACGTATGGCTGCGAAGCAGAGGAGATGTGTCACTGGAAAGTCACTGCTTTGATGTGAGCTGCAAATCAAAATCATTACTACAACACTGAAAAAAAAAAAATCAAATTTAAATAGTAAAGTCATAGGTGACTAACAAGGCTACCTTGATATTCTTAATCTCGATGTTCTGTTTAAAACTGACAACAAGACTTTCCTTCTCAAGCTCAAAATTACCCTCTCCGCCCTACGCTACGTACTTTGTGCTTTGTGCAACGGCATCAGCTTGGCAGATGTTGCCGACGAAGGTTTAGCAGGCGGCGATGAGGCCGAGGAAGGCAGCAGCCCCCGTGCCCCAAGGAGCTGCCGCCTTGCCCTCCATGGATGAACTCGCCCAACCTCAACCAGGCTGCCGGAGAAGCGACTGTGAGAGGCCAGCGAGGCAGTGCAAGGAGCAGCATAAAACTGTCACAAAACTTCCTCCCTGTTTCCTTCAAAATGCCACAACAACTTGTAAAGTGGTGGCAAAGTGCTGCGTGCCGTGGGGATTGTTGTATTTTATAACGAGGCCACAGAAAGGTTAGTTATCAGGTAACTGCCTGGATTTGGAAGCACCTGCTCCAAATATAATTACAAAATAATAGATCTCTGGAATTACACATCTCCTGGAAGAGAACAGACTGCCCAGGAGCCATCCAGGACAGGGCTGGCTCTGACAGGCAAATATGTGGGATGAACAAGTAGGAGGCCAAACCGTTCCGGTATCGGTTTGCTGAATCAAAAGCTCAGTGAGAAGGGTTTGTGCACGTGGGTTACAGCCACTTCTACCAAAGGAAGAAAAAAAAGAAAGAAAGACAAAAAAAAAAAAAAAAAGGATGCAACATAATCTCACCTTGCATTAAGGTTTTAGGATATCAAAAAGGAATTGGTCTGGCTCTTGCCAACCAGGAAGCCTTTCAAATGAATGGAGCTGTGTTCAGTACACTTATCCTCTTAATGAGGACAAATTCTGGCAGTTTACCCTTAGGTAAAAAGGGAAAAAAGCTTGCACTGTCAGCTTGATGCACTCTTGAAAGAAAAATCAAGCTCCCATCTTATCTAAACCCGGGGTAATTTTACACATTCATCACTTGCCAGTCGTTGAAGTGTGTTGCTTTTCACCGGGAGCTGTGTCTGATCAGGTTAGGGGAAGAGCCCAGGCTGAAAACAGCTGAAAGATCAATCTTCCCTTCAGCATCTGAGGTCCCAGCTCCGAGCTTGCCAGGGCTGGGGCAGGACGCGTGCGACGTGCTCCCTCGCCTTGCACCTCAGGGCTAGGAAACACCAGAGCTGAGCTCCAGCCCTGTACCTACACGTGTGGGTTCTGCTGCCCGCCTGGCTCACCCCACAAGGGCTTTTGGTAGGAAAACATGAGATCTGGTGTGAACGGGGCCGGGAGTGGATTTGGTCCTGCCGAAGGAACCAGCACCATGGGCAGGCAGGACAGCCAGTGGCCTTGGTGCTCGGGTGTGACCTGGGGCAGCAGCACCCGCCACGCACCGCGGAGGAGGGCTGAGCTCTCCGGCCGGGCATTTGCAGCACACCTGGGAACCCACAGCTCACTGCAGCTATTGCAATGCTCTGCCAGGAGTTTGGCAGCTGGAGGGGAATGAAGAGAGAGGATTATCCAGCAAGACAGCCAGCAGCTCCCCTCTGCTCGCCTCTCTGATGGGCATAAACCCTCTATTTTCTTCCCTTTTCTCCCCAAAGGAGAAACCCCTTACTCCCAGTCCATGCTGACCTATCTATCACAGTTGCTCCAACTAAAGTGCCTTGCTTTTCTCTGGCTAAATAATTCATTTGAATGCTCCTACCGAAACAATCATGATAGAACTAACAAATTTAAAAATAATCATATATACCATTACTTGATAGCACATTCCCACCTCGGAAGCTCTGCTTCCTATTTATGCAAGATCTATTTTAGCTTTAGGGTTCACTCAAAAATTTTCACACTAGATTAAAAGTTACACCAAATTCAACAGCTGTAGAAGTGCTGAATAAAGGCAGCTTTTTCTTTGGGAACACAGAAGATCCTCAATACCCAGTAAATTATCAGTTACCTTAATGTTTAGCAGCAGCTGAAAACATTTAATAAGACACATTGCAAGCCTCACAGCAGGCAAATGCAATAATTTTTGATGTAGGCATATCTACTTGACAGCACGGCAGAAGCTAGTTAACTTCACAATTACAGAAAAAAAGAGCCAGCACAGCTTTGCTGTTACCCACAGGCAAAGAAACTCAGTCAATAAAACCAATCCCTGTCCCCTAGGAGCTATTCTGCTAAAGAGTCATCCAGCTCCTGCTATTTAAAAATCTCTGCTGGTAGGAGATCTGCCAGAATTAACAATTGATGTTCTAAATCAAGCGCAGTATCGCCACACGGTAATGATTTTTATTATAGGGCTATCAGAGAATTAAAAATAAATATTACTCTTATGGCCCTGTGGCTGGTTTGGACAGTGGATGGAAGGAAGGGGAGCCTGAAACCAGGATCACCACAGGACAGCGCGGCAGCGTCCCCCCGTGCCGTAGGCTTTTGTCACGTTGACCAGGCGCAAAACACAAGATTTCAGCTCATTCCCCAAGTCCGTTCTCTAGGTGAAGCCTCTGGGACAGCACTCAGATGTAAGGCAGCTCAGGGAATTGTGGCATGAAGATTGGAGAGGCGTGCTTTAGACTGGCACACACGCCAGCAGTTTATTGTCGTGATGAGCCAGACCACCGCTGTGCCACGTTTTCAATATTCACTGACTTAGCACCTGTACTTTTCACTACTCAAGTCCCTTCTCTCCGCATGAGCCCCCCCCAACACTCCTGCCTGCTCTAAGCCTACATTACCTAAACTGGTGTGACCTGTTTTGTCACACTCTAGGAAAATGCAGAGATATGATGTAAGCTCGGAAAGCCCATGTACTGTCAGGGCCTAAGATCTGGGGTTCTTGGGTAAAGAATTTCAGCAATT